TTACTTAACTTTTAAACCTATGTTAGGAGAATTTCTTGCCAGATATTTTAACAATTAAATGGTGTTTTAAGCATAAACACATTCTGTAAATTACCAGGCTTTCCTCTTCTTCTAAAACCACATGGTTGTTCTTGCAGTTCTTTTGCAACATTTTCAGTGTCCATATACAGTGTAATGGATATATTAAAATCACACCATAGATAGAAATGCAGAAGACTTGAGGGCAATTTTGCTTTGAAAACGTACATTTTGTTGTACTTGGTATTTGCAAAATTGTTCAAAATTTAAAGATAAAACACAAGATGTCATACATTCTGCTGGTCAAAGTGTACTGACAATTAGGAAATGGAGCAAGATGAATGCTGACATTCACCTGACTTTCTCCACTTTTCATTAGGTCAGTAGCCTGAACCATAGGTTTGTGTCATAGCCTGAACCACCTCCACTCCTGGTAAGACTTCTCTCCTTTTTAAACTTCTGTGGAAATATTTTCTTAGCCATACCTAGAGGTGTACATTCTAAGTGAAATCAAATCCTCAAAGTGGGCATTATCTCCACTCATTGTGTGTGTGTGTGTGTGTGTGTGTGTGTGTGTGTGTGTGTATTGACACCTGAACAATTGTATCAGTTCAGGTTTGGTCAGAGCACATGAGTGTCACTTTTCCATTAGCAATCTAAGTTACACAAAGTGACAACCTGATCTATCAATTGAATGTCATTAAAATACTGAAAAAACATATGCATTTTTGTTAATTCCTGGTAATGAACATTATTTATTTCTAATAAAACATTTTCTTACTTTATATTATGGATTCATAATATATTCTTAATGCAAAGTTAAGTGTCTGGTGGAAAGGACATGGTTTATAGCTTTTTCTATTTACCATTTGTTGTGAGACATGAAAAAAGTCCAATCTACCACCAATTTGGAGCTGATGACAGATCAAACTAATGATACTTACAGAAGTGCAACCTGGTGAATCAATGAATTTAATGGGGATATTTACAGAAGTGTGATTAAAGGGTTACTTGTAGGAACATGAATAACTCAACAATGCATTTAAATTTCACCCCAGGATGGGTGATCTCTCAAGAAATTTTGAACCCTGCAGTTCTTTGAAACAGTCATATGTAGCTTGACAGGTCGAAGAGTTTACTCTCTTCAGAAGTCCTTACTACTGTATAACCTCAAAGTGTGTGTGTGAGTAGGAGCATTGTGAATCTGCTGAGTTTCTAGGACTTCCTGGCAGTTCTTTGTTGATTACTTCTTGAGTCTTAAAGAGCTCTCCTCATGATTGTTTCTGAGTCTTAATAAAATTTTCTCCAGGATGCAGTTTCAAGCAGGAGGAAGTTACTGCAGAACACCATGCTAATTGTTCTCAATACACTTTTCATTGCTACAAACTTCTCAAACTTCTATGTCACAACTACAGATCCAGCATCATATTAACTGGGTGTCATTAGTTGTTCCCATCCATAATGATGAAGTCTTTATAAAATGACTCTGAGTATAATCTCTGTAATACAAGAATTATTCTAATGTTGGTCATTAGTTAAGGAAATAGTCCTGAAAACACCCATTGCCCATAGATTATACATTTTTCCCTGGGTATATTTGGTATTTATTTCAGATGTTGAAAGGAAGTAGTAGCTAGACATGGTGTTGATACAGTGAAACACATGGCGCAAAATTAGAGCAGATGCTTTCCCAAATGAAAACTTTGATTTACAAATTCTACTTTTACTACTAAAACTTCCTGATCTTAGCATATTTGGCATATTATGTGTATAAATTCACAAAAGCTGCAACAAGTTCCAAACCATTCTGAAAAGTGAAAACCTAGGTAAGTAAGGGAAGAAAAACTTCATTATTGTAAATTTCTTGTACTTTCCCCAAATTGTCTACATAATGTTTTCCTACAAAACATTTTTAATTTATACAAAGCAATTTATTAATAGAAAATAATTTGAGAAGTCCTATTCACAGATGGCAACCACGAAGACCATCCTTCTTCCTTCGAGTGCTATCAGAGGGGATGGGGTGACATTCTCAATCTGCCCAATCTTCATCCCTGAACAAGTAAGATCTCTGTAGGCTAACTGAGCTTCAGGTCCAGGGGTCTTGGTCCTGTTTCTTCCCATAGCTCGGAGTTTGGTATGCAGGGCAGTGATGCCCAGCTCATTGCACCTCTGGACAACATCCTGGGCAGCCAACATGGAGAAGACTCATCTCTGTCAGCCTTTACCTTCATTTCACCATTCATTCTGCAGATGGTTTCCTTGCCAGAAAGATCGGTAACATGGACAAAGGTGTCGTTGAAGGATGTAAAAATGTGGCAGATACCAAAGGCATTCTCTCCTTCAGCCACTTGAGGCCTGAAGCTGATAACCTGTTCTTCTTTTCCTTCCCCTTGCAAGGTGCCATTTCTGAATGTCATCTCCTCCTACAAAACTTCAAAAAGAGTACTTTTTTTGCAAAATTTTAGCCTTAATACTAGGTATACTTGAACTTATGCTTCTAACCAGGCTCCTATATTTAGTTGGTTAGTGGGAAAGAGGCTTTCTTGGATTTGAATGCTAAATTGACAAGCCAACATGTGCATATATGCTTAGGTTTATAGATACTTCTCGAAGAAAATTGATACAGCCTATTTCTGTATCAGTTGGTCCCTGCTGCAGTCTAAGGTTCTCCTCATGGACACAATCTGAGGATGTAGTATAGCATTGATAGGTAGAAATATATGTAACAGTTCTTAATAACATGTATAAGAACAGAATTTGAAAGCTTCGGTGCCATGAATGCCTACTACTTTTGTTACAGTCTCTGCCATGCACTTGGTCAAAATCTGAGAGTAATAACATATTAGCTTTATCCTTGCTCAAGTTACACAACTGTGTGAAGAAGATAAACAAGGTACACAGATAAGTATAGACAGAATTCCTGACATCTGGGAGAAAGCTGATGGTCACAGAATTTGAAGACCAAGTGCTGCTCTTATGACATGCCCCTCACTGTAGCCAGATATTTTTTTATATTACTGCATATGTTCATAACTTTTTGTCAACTTGACACAAACTAGAGTTGCATAAGAGGAGGAAACCTCAATTGAGGAATTGCCTTCATCAGATTGTCTTATAGGTATACTTGTGAAGTGTGTTCTTGATTAGTGATTGGTATAGGCAGAACCAGCCCACTGTGGGCAGTGTCATTGATGGGCAATTGGTCCTGGGTTGTATAAGAAAACAACATGAGTAAGCCAAGAATCAGGGTTATTTCATGGTCTTTGCTTCAGAACCTGCTTCTAGTTTTCTGCCTGGCGTTCCTGCCTGGATGGGGGACTGCAACCTGGAAGATGAAGTAAATCCTTTCTTTCTCATGTTATATTTCCTCTTGTTTTAATACTATGATGACTATGACTTTTGTTTACCAATAGCTCAATCTGAAATTTTAAGCTAAAATCCTGTTTGATATAGAGTGAATTTTACAACACAGGGACAACCTACTATGATAAAACATCTATTTACATAAGAAGGATATATAAGCATATGAATATGTATAAGCTAAAGCTATATCAGGAAGTATGCTTGCATGAAGATGGCAAATGGTAAAACTTGTAATAATTTAACACTAAAAGAATAAAAAAGCACAATAAATTTCATGCAAAGTTTTCCCTGTAAAGTCTGAAAAAATCTACTCAAATTATTGTTAACTTGGGTCACTTAAATTTAGAACTCCATATAAATAGAAGCCACAATATTTTAGAAATGATTCTACCATGAAAACATTTTATTTTTTCTCATTTAACAATTCATGCGTTTATGCTTTTGAGTATTTCCTACAAGAAAAAGAAGAAGAAGGAGAAGGAGAGGAAGAGGAAAAAGAAGAAGAAGAAGAAGAAGAAGAAGAAGAAGAAGAAGAAGAAAATCTATGCTCAGATTAACCCACAGCACTGACACACCACTTTCTTTTCTAAAGTCTAATAACCAGTTTCTTGGATCATCTGACTTTTCAGCTTGTTTGTTCTGTGATTTACAGTAATTTGTGGAGAGTCAGGAGGAGCTTTATGTGGTAAGGACATCTGGGTGTTGTGTACTCTGAATGGTGATTTTTCTGAGCAGGGATTCACTATGAGCCCTGAAATTTGAAAACTGTAGCAGAAGAGGGGAAATGTTTGTATATTTCTTAGTCTCAGAGAATCCCCAGAACACCAGGTTTGTAGGCAGTGATTTGGGAAAAGGGAAACTCTTTGCCTTTTAGTGTTATACCAAGTGAATGTCTAGCATGTGGCTGAGATAAAAACAAAAGAATACATCTTTTTCCTCCTTAAAATTGAGCACTTCCAGGCACAGGCGTCAAAAGCTTGTCTGAGGCCTCTAGGATGTCATCAAAAGTAGTCATCAGTCTCATTATAGGGGAAGGGCATTTAGGCTATCCTCACCACCATTGCCCAGATTGTCAGTTCATGTAATCCTTCTAGATCTCTGGAAATCTCCCTAGTGCCAGATCTCTCCTCAGACCTATAATGGCTCCCTCTGATATGGTATCTCTCATCCTGCTCTCCTATATTCTTCCTCCAACTCAACCTTTCTGCTCCTCCCTTTCCTCCTCTCCCCTCCTCTTCTCCTCCTCTTATTTTGGCAGCTCCCTCTCCCGATCCTCATTCTCCCAATTAGCTCAGGAGTTCCTGCCCCTTCCCATTCTCTGGGGTCCATGCATTTTTCCTTAGAGTCTTTCTTGTATCCTAGTTTCTTCGGGGAAAAGGATTATAGGCTGGTAATCCTTTGCTCTATGTCTAAAATTCATATATGAGTGATTACATACCATATTTGTCTTTTTTGTACCTGGGTTACCTCACTCAGGATGGTTTCTTCTAGTTTCATCCATTTGCCTGTGAATTTCAAGATTCCATTGATTTTTTCCGCTGAGAAGTACTCCAATGTGTCAATGTACCACATTTTCTCTAGCCATTCTTCAGTTGAGGGGCATCTAGGTTGCTTTCAGGTTCTGGCTATTACAAACAATGTTGCTATGAATATGGTTGAACATATGTCCTTGATGTATGAATGTGAATTATTTGGGTATATGCCCAAGAGAGGAATTGCTGGATCTTTAGTAGACTGATTCCAATTTTTGTGAGCAACCATCATACTGATTTCCTGTGGCGTCTATCTCGACCAGCAAGACCAACACGACCACGACTCTTCTTCAAGCAGCTTATTCAGGAACCTTGTACATCAGCTTCTCCTTTCCCAGCACCCCAGAAAGCCCTTAAAAGCAAGCTCATTACCCAATTAGCTCGTACCACCTGGCGATACCGGATAGGTCACAGCTGGAAGAGGCACACCAGATCCACAAAGCGCTTCCAAATAAGGCTTGTTTACAGCTAAGCTAGGTCTCCCTGGCATCCAGCCAGGCGCCATTTTGGGGCTGTGGCTTCCCACAATTTCCAAAGTGGTCTTACAAGTTTGCATTCCCACCAGCAATGGAGGAGTGTTCCTTTTTCTCCACTTTCTCTCCAGCATAGATTTTCATTGGTGTTTTTATTTTAGCCATTCTGGCCTATATAAGATTGTATGTCAGAGTTGCTTTGAGTTGCATTTCTCTGATGGCCAAGGATTTTGGTCACGTTCTTAAGTGTCTTTCATCCATTTCAGATTCCTCTGTGGAGAATTCTCTATTTAGTTCTGCACCCCACTATTTAATTTCATTGTTTGGTGTTTTGGTGACTAGCTTCTTGAATTCATTGTATATTTTGGAAATCAGTCCTCTGTCAGATGTGGGGTTGGTGAAGATCTTTTCCCATTCTGTGGGCTGTCATTATGTCTTACTGACTGTGTCCTTTGCCTTACAGAAACTTCTCAGTTTCAGGAAGTCACATTTATTAATTGCATATCTCAATGCCTGTGCTACTTGTGTAATGTTCAGGAAGACAACTCCTGTGCCAATTTGTTCAAGGGTATCTCCCACTTTCTCTTCAGTGTGGCTGGATTTATGTTGAGATCTCTGATTCATTTGCACTTAAGTTTTGTGCATGGTGACAGATATGGATCTATCTGAAATCTTCTGCATGTCCAAATCCACTTGTGCCAGCACCATTTGTTGAAGATGCTATCTTTCTTCCATTGTATAGATTTAGTATCTTTGTCAAAAATAAGGTTTTCATAGGTGTGTGGGTTAATATCAGGATTTTCAATTTGATTCCATTGGTCTTTCTATTTTTGTGCCAATACCAAGCAGTTTTAAGAACTATGGCTCTATCATATAGCTGAAGCCAGGGATGGTGATGCCTCCAGAAAATCATTTATTGTACAGGGTTGTTTTGGCTGTCCAGTGTTTTTTGTTTTTCCATATGAAATGGAGTATTGTTCTTTCAACGATTGTGAAGAACTCTGTTGGGATTTTGATAGGGACTGCATTAAATCTGTAAATGGCAAGATTGCCATTTTTACTATGTTGAGTCAAACAATCTAAGAGCATTTTCTGGTATCTTCTTTAATTTCTTTCTTTAAAGACTCAATGTTCTTACTGTACAGGTCCTTCACTTTTTTGGTTAGTGTTACCCCAAGACATTTTATGTTGCTTATGGATATTGTGAAGGGTGATGTTTCTCTGATTTCCTTCTCATTGGAATTATCATCTGTATATAGTAGGGCTACTGATTTTTTTGAGTTAATTTTGTATCCCGATACTTTGCTGAAGGTGTTTATCAGCTGTAGGAGTTCCCTGGTAGAGGTTTTTGGGTCACTTATGTAGACTATCATATCATCTGCAAATAGAGAAAGTTTGAATTCTTCCTTTGTAATTTTTATACCTTTGATCTCTTTTTCTTGTCTTATTGCTCTAACTAGAACTTCAAGTACAATATTGAAGAGATAAGGAGAGAGGGGACAGCCTTGACTTGTTCCTGATTTTAGAGGAATCACTTTGAGTTTATCTACATTTAGCTTGATGTTGGCTGTTGGTTTGGTGTATGTTGCTTTTATCATGTTTAGATATGTTCCTGTTATTCCTGTTCTCTCCAAAATCTTTATCATGAAGGGATGTTGGATTTTGTCAAAGGCTTTTTTAGCATCTAGTGAGATGATCATGTGTTTTTTCTTTTTCAGTTTGTTTATATGTTTGATTACATTTATGGACTTTCATGTCTTAAACCATCCTTGCATCACATCAAGTAAGGATGAAACCTACTTGATCATAGTGGATGATGTTTTTGATGTGTTCTTGGATTGGATTTGCCAATATTTTGTTGAATATTTTTGCATGGATGCTCATGAGGGATATTGGTTTGGAGTTCTTTTTTTTAGTTGTACCTTTGTGTGGCTTGTGTACAAAAGTGATTGTAGCCTCATAAAAAGAGTTTGGCAATGTCCCTTCTGATTCTATTTTGTGGAACAATTTGAGGTATTAGCACTTGTTGAATTTCTGGTAGA